TCTGTGAATGGCAGGTATGTGACTCTGTTGGCACAGTCCTTCACTGTTGGGGTACAATTGCATTTCTCTGGACACTAGCGATATAACTATCATTTTCCCAATATCTTTGTCTTTTTCAGTGTTGTTCGATCAACTGTTTTTATTACTATACGTATAGAGCTATTGCAGAAGACAAGTTTTCTTTCCTAAACACATTAAACCTTCAAAATGTCTTTACAAAAAAAAGCAGTTGGGCTACAAAACAGGATCTGAGGAAAATGGCGGACGAGGCATGCATGTACATAAAGACAGAATACTAATACTAGTCAATAATTTTGCTGTTTTGCTCTGAACCAAACTCCAGTTTTCAAAGGCAGGTCCACAATAGGGGCATCCATGGGGGGATGATGAAGTGTGAAAAAAAAGTCAAGTTGGTGCTTGTGGGATTGAAGGCCCACCTTTTTAAAAAGTGAATTGCGTGTGTGACACAGGAAAAGAAGGAGTGGGGTTCCAAGTGGGCAGGTGCGGCAGCCATCTTGACTTTTTCGATACCCCCTTCCGCAGATTTCCCTGGCCCGTATATATTGCATTCACAGCACTGTAAATTCCTAGCATCACGCTTTAACCTTTTGGCTTCAAGAAAAGTACAAGATTGCTCAATTAAACATATGCTTTTAAAAAATTTAAGCAAAGACCTCTACAACAATGGGAAGTTCATTATTTTTCATAAATAATATATTAGGACAGTGGGCCTTACTTCTAACACCCTCACTTTTCTACATACCCAAATGTGTACCCCTACCTACCAGATTGTAATTTGTGGATCTCATGGAATGAGCTATAGCATGAAGCAGCTTATACGTGATGACAAATACACCTTCTAACATGCCGCAGGACTGTTTTTCTTGCAATAGGTTAGCACATAAGCCCTGCTGTAATTTGCATCCAAATGTTCCTTCCACACTGTAATTTTTAATGTGCTTGGTAGAAGAAATGATTAAATACACAGGATGTAATCACATTAACTGTATCAAATTAGTTTAATTTCAACTAACTATGTTTTTCTCTTGATGCAGTCCAGTTTTTGAATGTGATCATTACTTGCCACTAAAAGGCTGAGGGACAGTGTCAGCTCTCAAGAAAGTCTGCATACTCTGCCATATAGAAGACTGCAACCTAGAATGTAAGAGGAGTAAATAGTAGAGGACATGAATTACAGGGAGTCCTTGCTTAATGGTGGTAACTGCAACTGGAATTTCCATTGCTAAGCAATGCAGTGGTAAAGTGCAATGTCACGCAACCCTGCCGCTTAGTGACAGCAGTTCCTGCAGTCCCCAGTTACTGACATTAAGTGAATCACCAGCTGTGATGGCTAGAGCTTCAAGGACTAGGTGTAAGTATCACTCATTCAGCGCTGTCATAAGTTTGAAGGGTCGCTGAACGAGTGGTCGTTAACTGAGGACCACCTACAACAGGAAAAACAGCTACATTATGTGGTATGACTGTGAAACTATGGGCAAGGATGCAGTGAAGATCATCTAATCTTGTGGAGTGGTACAGTACACTCCTTCTATCTTTGATGGTCATCTTCTTCCACTGAGTGTACAGCTTTGGGAGGGTCATGTATGGAGTACTGAGGGAGAAAGGGGACAACCACCTAGCCAGCCAAATCAGCTGAATCAACCCTGGTGATCAGTTGAGTGACAGATGTCACAGGCAGATTGCCCTCACATATTTCAATTTCCAAGGACAAATACCAGAACAAGAAAAACAAAAAACAGAAACACAAAAATCTCTGACAAGCTAAAATTGTGTCCTTGCAAAGAAGGATCTATGAAATCCATAGCTCATGTCTTGTTATGCTGCACCTTCTAAAAGGATGCAAGGACCCACTTTAAAACTCCCCATCTGGTGAAGTACCCAGACAACTTTGATTTACTTTATGTACTGTTACTCTTCCTGGACCAGTGTAATTCTCTTTCCTTTAATGTGGTTAAATTATGGTATATTATTTGTAAAACTAGACATGCTATGATCGCCTTAATTATCTAGCTATAATTTTATTTTATTTGAAACAGAAACTAATTATTTTGATTATTTATTGACCAGTAAATTCTGGTCACTGACCATAATAAGGATTACTACTACATAAATGAAATGAAGCAAGGGTGCAGGTTTCATTATGGATGAAAAGGCTAAAACCTAAGTATGACTTGGGCTCATCTAGAATATTGTGGGTACATATGAATGTAGGAATCTATAAGTTGATAGTAGTTGGTTGTTACACTTCTGTGAATGTTGGTAACTAAAGAATGAGAGATGAGTTTTGGAAAAAAATATAGAACTTTCTGAACGAACATAATTCAGTGGAAAAAATAGTGTGATAGGTGATATGAATGAATGAGTGGGAGTGAGATGAGAATAGAGACAAAGTCATTGGGCCATTTAAAGACCCAAAAATGAATGACAATGGAGGAGGTTGAGTTATCTGCTTAGAAAAAGATCTTTTTTTTTGAATATGTGGTTTAAGCATAAGCCTATTCATATATATGCATGGCAAAAGAAAGAATATAAATCTAAAAGCATGATTGATTTGTTTGTAACAAAAGACTGAGATAATTGGTGAAGGATAGAAGGGGTTCTGAATGTGGGATGGACCATTTCTTTGTAGCGTGAAGAGTGGATCGTCATGGGAGGAGGGATAATGACTTTGTAACTGTTAAAAAGAAGTTGCTTTCTTTTCCTTATGTTTCTTTAATTAGCTTTTTTCTTTCTTTGCTTTGTTCTTCATGCTATTTTTTGTTTTTTTTCCCTTTATATTCTTTCCTTTATCTTTTATGTATGTGTAAAAACTTTCAATAAAAATTATAAAAGTTATAAAGTGTAAAAAACTAGAGCAAGTAGATGAATTTGTCTTGGCTAAATGTTTATTAAAAATGGGGAAATATTGTAGGTGAAGAAATGTTAAGATGTGCAAATGCTGGTAACACATACCTAAAAAGAAAAGCAGATCCAGAGGAAGGGAAGCCCTTAAGGTTGTTGGATGGAGCTGATGAACCCAGGGAGACCCAAGGAAGTGGTGGATGGAGGGGCTTCAGATCTTCCCCGCTCACAAAAAAAATGCATAGGCACCTGTTCCCAACCATAATTGTTGTATGTTGCCCAGAGTCGCTTTGTGAAAGATGGGCGGCTATATAAATGTGATAAATAAATAAAGCCAGAACAAATCACGCATCCTGGCCATTTTGTCCCTCCACTCATCCCCATCCCAACGACAGGCACCTATGCTGAGAAGTTTAAAGAACAGAAGGCATGAATTGGTGTATGGACACAGTGGAAGGAAGGATAGTTTGCAAGGATAGGCGTGGGCTGCTATAATGGTGTTGGTGTAGATTTTCAGTTTTATCTTATGCCTGTGCCTGTTAGTTTCTTTTCTTGCTCAGCTTCTCCTTTGCATAACAATGCTTACTCCAAGAGAATAGTGCCATTGGTTTATACACATGTAACAGAAAGGTCACCTGATAATCCATTTTTGTATGGTGGCATTAGTTAACATGATCCTTGTTTTCAGATGTACTTCTGAAGTTATGCATTATCCATGGAAAAGTGAGGAATTCACACCAAATTCAGGGGGTGACCAGGTGCTTTAAACACAGGTAGCTAATTAAGAATCCCAGCTCTATTCTCCTTTGTGATTAATGGTCTCTTCCCCAAGGAGACCAGCTAAGGTAGAAGTCTGTGTTGCACATAATACAAGGTCCCATTACTTATTTCAGGAATCTTTCAGAGGTAAAAGAAAGAAACTTTAATAAGCAAGCTTCCTGGAGCGATACCAATATGGAACTGTGACCAGAGAGTTAAACATCCTTCAGTCCGAGCTTCTGGGCTCCATTTAACCCCAGTCAGTGGGTTTGGCAACCTCCTCCAGAACAAGCACAATTGGAAGGAAAGGGGAAATGCCCTATGTTACATGATTTCTGCAGGGAGTTTGGAAACTGAAATTTAGTTCCATCGGGTAGAAAAATTATGTACCTTCTTAATGATCTGAAGCTGAAATTCCAGCTGATCACATGAATATAAAACAAGCTTCTGCTGCCTTAAACTCATGTGAGTGCCTCATTTAAGTATGGAAGAAAAACTGTATGAACCTTGGGATAGGCTAGGTAACTGATAGCTTAATGGTGTTACATGGTCTCCATCTTTTAGTTTTAACTTCTATTACTGTGAATACATAAAAAACCAGCCTACAGCATCTGAAGGCCCTTTAGCTGAGCAAGATCCTCCCACTCAGCAGAATTGTCTTTCCCTTCCTTCCCCCCGACCCCAAGCAGCTTAGAAATACTAAATGAAAACAAGATCAGAAGTTATTAGAAAACATTTTTATCAGGAAAGTAAAAAACCAAGTTGCATAGAAATTCTTCAAAAACTTGAACATCAAGTGTATTTCACGTGAACGGTAATCAATGGAAGCACCAGAGACTGACTGCGAGGGTTCCTGCCCCCATCCCAACTTCCTCCTAGCATCACCTTACACCTCCCTTAGACATACATCCCCAGGATTTCTAAGCACGGACAGGGCACTGTCCACCTTGTGCCCTGTTCCTCCCACTGGTCTCATTCACAGAAACGGAGTTGCACAGCGGTGCTCAGTGGATTAAATCCCCCATTCAGCCAGAAGTCTAAATTTAGCTGCCTCCTTTTAGCTGCCCTAGTGTCAGTAGTGGAACTTCTTCACATCCATCTGTATTGTTACACATGCTTGGTCCCTTAGACCTTAACACTTATTAACACTTATTCACACACCTCAACTTTCACCAGACATCCATTGATTACTATCTACTTTTTTCTCCCATTTGTTTTTTTTTT